GTGGTTGTAATGTGACAAAATATGGAAAAGTTCAAGGGGTATGAATACTTTTGCAAACCACTGTAGATGTCCAGTTGTTTCATCTTTTTTTCTTTGAATTTCCCATGTCCTGACTGAGAAACCAAAAGAAAGATCTGAGAGTAACGTTGGGCCATGTCAACACTAAAAATCAGGATTGATTCTTTCAGCATGTTGCTCCTGTTCCTTTAAATACATGCTGAACCAGAGCAAGCATGTCAGATCATTATTTAACCAGGTCTGATTGTGCAACCACTTCAGACTCAACATGCTAACATGTAGCATTATGACTAGAGACCTGTTCACTTCTGTAAACAACATGCTGAATGTGACATCACATCTTCTGCATGGATGAAGCATCAGTGGCATGAATCGGGTGCATTTAAAACGTGAACATCCATGCTAAATAAATAAAATGGTATCGGTCCGATCAGGGCTTTTCAAAGAAGCACAAATGATTTTTAAAGTGACGGTATCGGGACACCACAAGTAGAATCTTTGCCCAAACTTTGGAATCAACCATCAGCGCTCTCATCTTGTCCCTGACCTGCAGTTGTTTTCATTAGCTGTGCATCTTCATTTGACTCAACCTGATTAAAGATGGCCGCCACAGCTAAGTGACTCTATTGTGTGGTAGTAGATGAGCACCAAGTGATTCAAGCCTCAGACAGATTACGTCTCAGGAAGTGGAATAAACAAACTCTAACGCTCTTCCGCTTGTGGAATCCTGATCATCTTTTCCACCTTATAAAATTCAAGCTGCTCTAAAAAAAGGGACGTTCTGATTTACAGCTTGCAATAATACACGGTCATGACATAAACAACAGCAGACATGCACTTTGCATGTCATTTATGGGGCTGATAGCTGATGGAAGATATTTTTGCACCAGTTTGTCCTGCAGTGTTGCAGAATGTATCTGCTCTCTGATGGAGGCAGAAAGAATAAATAATAAATAGCACACGTTGGAGTGAAAACCCCCTGTGTTTTTACTTCTGTACTTTAGTTTTGATGGTAGATTAAATAAATAAATCTCTGCACAAAGATTATTCTCCATTAGATGATAAAGGGTTTCATGTTTTACAGGAGCAGTGTCTTCTGATGCCATTTCCTGTGGTTATTCAAGCCTTTATTTGCTTTTTCACCCCCTTATGTTCCACTCCTAACAGTTGCATCGCCTCAGTTTGATGGATTTGTGGATTTAAAAATAGCCGCTGAAATGTTTTGAGTTTACAGCATCTGTAAATCTTCTGAGTGGAAATGCCATTGAATCCAAATTTTAAATACCAATAATTTTGAAACAAACACATAAAAATAAAAAAATCAGTACTTAGACCAACAGTTTTTAATGTAAATATATTTTGATAAAGTAGAACGATATAATCATGGTCCAAATATTTTAAGATATAGCAATACTAAGAACATTAAGGACTGATATGGGGGAAAAACACGCAAAAACAAAGAATGCACACGAAGCACGTTTTAGACTAAAATGATTTTATTATGAAAAGGAACAGAGTTAGAGCTCTTTTGGTCAAACTTGTAAACAGAATTATGCTGACGGAGGATTAATTTCAGCTACAACCACATCGAATTTTAGCTGTATATTTGAAACCTTGAGTTATAAACATTTCTGTGCCAGTTAAATGGATTTGCTGTGGTTCCCATCCTGAACTGAGAGTTGTTGAAAGWTGTAGTTCACGTAATATTTTACTYACAGACAAATAAACACACAGACGACACAGCTTCACTTTCAGTGCAACATAAATCTATTGAGAATAAATACATCTTTAAAGAAGCAACCAAAATATAAAAGAAGATAAACTGTCACTAAACTGTGGYAAAAGAGAGGGTAGCAAATAGAGAACATCTGTTAAATGTGACATAAATAAGGACAAAGAATAGGAGAGAAGAAAAACAAAGAAGAGAAACGA